ATCGGTTTCGGATCTAATCGGTTTCGGATTTAAATCGGATATGAATTATTTAGTTCGGTTTCGGTTCGATTCGGATCATTTCGGGTTTTCGGTTATAGATCGGATCTTCATTTTTCGGGTCATTCCGGTTTCGGTTTCGGATATTTCGGTTCGGGTAATCGGTTCCGGTTCTGTTTTGCCCGGTCTACACACCGTCGCACTGCATTAAACCCACTTCATCTTCCTCCATTATGGCTCGGCATTAACTTCAGTTTCTTCTTTTGTAATCGATGGCTGCACAGTCCTTTTCCACACACACAAAATCAGATTTCGATGCTGATTATGCTGCATCTGTCTTGTCCCTACTCGTGGATGTCCCCTTCGCAACTTTTAACAGCCCTACAACAGAAAATCCATACTGCATTTCTGGTGTACAAGCAAGAAATGAAAGGAGGAAGAAAATAATTGATGCAATTTTACAGAAATACAATGACGGCAAACTTCAGCATGGGTTTATTAAGTCAGTAGCTGCTGACTTCAACATTTCTGCTTGTTGGGTTAGAGACCTATGGAGAATTACCAAATTTCAATTGGAAAGTGGCCTTGCTGTACAAGTTGAATGTAGGTGGCAAGGAAACTCAGGAAAAAAATGCTATCACTAAAGACTTGTCCAAGCTTAGTGACATTCCTTTTCACCAACGCCAAACACTACGTGCTGTAAGCCATTGCATGAATGTGTCTACTACTACCGCACACAAGTGGCTCAATGACAAAAATAGAGATTTTTCAATTCACCTTTGAGGAGGCAGAAAAAAGGGCTAGCAAAAATCGGCCCATCTGGTACTATGGAAGTTAAGGCAATACCAAAAATAACAAGAGATGTAATGAGGCGTATGATGATTCACCAATTACTTCTAGTAAAAAGGGAAAAGTGTTCAGGGACAAGCAAGTATATTCTCATACAATAGGATAATTTTAAACTACATATAGATATTAATGATCTCAAATTTGTGAGTTCTCCAAAGGAAGGTGATTGGGACATTGAATTACAGTTTCAGCCCTCAAATCTTAATCGTCCAAACCGACGGTGAAAATCTCATGTAAAGTAACATCAAAGTTAAAGAGCTTCGAGATCATCAATTTTGTGGGGCCCACGTTCATCCCACGGTGGTAAAACGTCTAAGAGAGTGTTACTGGGTCCCACCACCTAGTCGCCTACCCCTCGTGTCTTAGGAGCGCCAGGTGTATAGTGTGTCTGTCAACCTCTTTTTCACAACGTTAAGTATATACAGTCGTATTACTGATACTGTAGTAACAAAGTAAAAACAATATGTGGGACCCACATGTATTTAGTACCCCAATTTTATACCTTTCATAGACCTTCAAATTTGAGGTTAAAAAATAGAGTACATCACAAGTCTAAATCTAAAAAAGAAACCCCAAAACTCACACAAAATCCCCAAAAAACAAACACTTTTTCACTCTCTCTATGTATACATATACATATCTCTCTCTCTCTCTCTATCTCTCCATAGGCGATGAGAATGAAGAATCTAAGCCTTTGATCGTCAAAACAAATCCATGGAGAAGAAGGACGGAAAGCACACCATAAATGGCTCAATGGGTGACTCGGCATTTTTCGATCAGATTCCGACGAGCATCTTCGACCTCCCGCCACCATTCTCCGATGATCAGCACCCCTTTTCGTTCCTGGACATGCTCTCCGACTCCCAAGATGACTTCTGCACCATTATTTAAGGTCTGGGCTGTGAGTGCTCCAAAGGAAGGTGATTGAGACATTGAATTACAGTTTCAGCCCTCAAATAATCCAGATTTGAATGTTCTTGACCTTGGTTTCTTTAGGTCAATACATGTATTGCAAGACAAGACTGCACCCAGATCAATGAGAGAGTTGATCACTAATGTCACAAGATCTTTTGACCAACTCACAGCCTAGACTTTAAATATTGTTTTCTTAACCTATCAGGAGGTAATGGGTGAGGTTCTCAAGCACAAAGGGAGAAATGAATTTAAAATACCATATATGGGGAAAGAAAGGTTGGCTAGGGAAGGTTTGCTACCTAAGAACATAACAGTGGATGCCTAACTGCCTAAGTGTATGAACAAGCTGTCCACTTCTCAAAACTAAACAATTAAGCTATAGAGGGCAGTAGTTTTGTGTATCTCTTTTTTGGTTTGTACATCTGCAGACAACATCACACTTTTTTTTGCTTTTTGGTTTATGTTTAGTCCAAGTGTGCATATTGTGTAATGATGTAGTACTATATCATGAATGTAAAAGTATAAGCAGTATCATGAATGTAGTATATTATGCCTAGGGACATATAACAGGGTGTCATTGCCTTAGAAAAACATGGAAATAGACTTCCAAGTTCTATCATAAGCATATAAAAGGTCAATCATACTTAGGAACTTATAAAAGGGTGTCATTGCCTCGAAAAAACTTGGAAATAGAGTTTCAAGTTCCATCATAGACATATAAAAGGCCAATCATAGTTAGGGACTTATAACAAGGTGTCATTGCCTTAGAAAAACTTAGAATTTGAGTTTCAAATTCCATCATAGGCATATAAAAGGCCAATCATATTTAGGGACGTATTACCAAGTATCATTGCCTCAGAAAAACTTGGAAATAAAGTTTCAATTTCCATCACAAGCACATACTTAGGGACTTATTACAGGGTTGCATCACAAGGATATAAAAGGAACAACATCCATCATAAGCACACAAAAATTTTATCCCACTTAGGCAGGTAACATAGGAACTCATAGACAAATATAAACATTCTCACTTTCTGTAGACATTCAACATTACAAATAACAGCCGTGAGTAAACTCATGGTCCTAGCTAATTGAGCATTGTAAACCTCCAAACCTATAGGGGTGGCCTTACAATCTAGCAAGTCTCCCATATTTCAGAAAGAGTAAGGTTTGCATCATTAGTTTGCCCAAAATAACGCTATCAAGTGTACATACAACGAGTATAAGTTTAGTCTTCAAGAATGTAAGCCTTCCTTATTTTGGCTAAACGTCAAAATGGGAAGAGTTTATTGAAACGGAGGGAATGCACAATTCATAAAGAACATAGGATTGAAGCACGTTACTCTGTTGAAATCGCATGAGCTTCGATGGACTTCCATCTCGTTAAGCAAAGAAAATCTCTGTACCGAAGGTCATTCTCGAATCTCTTCTGTGGTAAATGACTCAACCTCTGAATCCTCTAAGTTGCCTTCTTCCAGGTCTAAATTCCACTCTACTCCGTCCGGAAGATGGTCACCCCAAGATATTTTTTCTGGTAGTTCCATGACGGATCGGTGTTAGAGGAGTAAGATGCATCAGGGTTGTAGGAAGGAAAACATACATTCCGCTTGTGCAATTGAAGACTTCCGGTATGAAAGATGGGAGGGACTTCCTCATCGCTTTCACTTAGCAAGTGAAAAGAAGGCATGTACAGATCTGGAGAAGGAGGGGAGGACACTATGGAAAATTGGATCGACGGGGATAAGGGGTAGGTGAGGATAGGGTTGAGAGAAGAGAGAGAATCGACGCGTTGAGGTTATGCCGCCGTGGGATGGGTCATGGGTGGGATGGGTAGTATTTTAGGGTTGAGGGCATTTTAGGAAAATTTAGTGGGGTGGAAGTGTTTTGTGAAAAACCAAAAAAATGAAAGAGGAAGTGTTTATTGAAACGGAGGGAGTAAATTGTTTTTAAATTATGATGAAAAAACATATTTAAATTTTAAATGAAATAAATTTAAAATGAGAAAACCAAAACATTTCATGAATAGATAAATAAATTACAATAAAACATTTCAAAAGTTAGGGATCAGAGGGATGGAGTATATCATACGGAGTATCTAATATAACTATAATATAATAAATACTTTAAGTTTATATTCTATTTAGATGTTTTTCCTTTTGTTTAGGAATTGATTTTTTTGACGGAGGCACAAATATTTTTTTATTGGGGGGCAAACGTTTAATTTAATCGATTGTTAAAAAAATTTACACTGTATATTATTGACGCTGTAAATTAAATAACAAAGTAAAAATTAAAAATATTTACCGGGGTATATATTCCAGTCAACTAGAAACGCATGGGACCCACGCTTTCTTTTTCCCACTCAATACCACCCCACAAAAAACAAGTACCCACCAAAACTTAGAGAAGAAAGTAAAAAAAAAAAAAAAAAAGACCCACCCTTATGTATTTATTTTTCGCCCAAATTAAAATTAAACAGCACACTCCTTCCGGACATCATATATTTGTGATTTGTCATATTATTTTGTCCCAAAATTTTAATATTATTTCGAACAACATCCAAAATTAAATCTCCTCTATAGCTATATTTTATTTACTAATTGATGTAGAAATAAAAAAATATACAAATGGCATATTTAGAAAAATACAAAGTACATCAAAGTTATACAAAAATAAAAAGTGACAAAGATATTTATTTTATCAAATAATAGTTATACAAAAAATAAAGAAATAATTTAAAACCACTACATATTTGAAAAAATATGAGAAGTTGACTTTGAGACAAATAGAAAAATAAAATGAACAGTTTATTTTGAGTCGCAATAAACATATAGATTCTTTGGCTTTGGTAACATTTTAAACCTCAGATTGCATGCCATTTCTAATTAGATCAAACAATTAACTTAAATCGTGAATGAATTGTGACATTCAAATGGATCAACAACCTCGGAAATTGAGCTCTTCTCCTCTACTAATGACCCTTAGATCAAATCTTAATCGTCCAAACTGACGGTGAAAATCTCATGTAAATGACATCAAAGTTAAAGAGCTCCGTGATCATCAATTTTGTGGGGCCCACGTTCATCCCACGGTGGTAAAACGTCTAAGAGAATGCTACTGGGTCCCACCACCTAATCGCCTGCCCCTCGTGTCTCAAGAACGCCAGGTGTACAGCGTGTCTGCCAACCTCTTTTTCACAACGTATATACAGTCGTATTACTGATACTGTAATAACAAAGTAAAAACAATATGTGGGACCCACATATATTTAGTACCCCAATTTTATACCTTTCATAGACCTTCAAATTTGAGGTAAAAGATAGAGTACATCACAATTCACAAGTCTAAATCTAAAAAAGAAACCCCAAAACTCACACAAAATCCCCAAAAACCAAACACTTTTTTGCTCTCTCTATGTATACATATACATATCTCTTTCTCTCTCTATCTCTCCATATGCGATGAGAATGAAGGAGAAGAATCTAAGCTTTTGATCGCCAAAACAAATCCATGGAGAAGAAGGACGGAAAGCACACCATAAACAGCCCAATGGGTGACTCGGCATTTTCCGATCAGATTCCGGCGAGCATCTTCGACCTCCCGCCGGCGTTCTCCGACGATCAGCACCCCTTTTCGTTCCTGGACATGCTCTCCGACTCCCAAGACGACTTCTGCACCATTTTCGACCTCCTCGAAACCCTGCCGCCGCCCTTGTTTCCTCCGCCGCCGCCGCCGGTGCCCGCGTGGCCGGAGGCGGCGAACACTCCGGTGACCCCGAACTCGTCGTCCTTATCCTCCTCATCTAATGACGCTCCGATGAAAATTGCTGATGAAGTTGATCAAGATCATCAAGACCAAAATCAGCTTCTGTAAGCTAATTAATTAGTTAATTAATTAAATTAATTAAGCTGCCTTAATAAATTTTTTTCGTTTATTTAATTTCTGCATTTCTTCTTTTCTTTTTTATTTTTTATTTTTAAGCTAAATCCAAAAATGTTTTACTGGCTTGGGTGAATGAACACGTTTTCTTCGTTCGTTCCAAATTTTTTTATATTAATTTTTATATAAATAAAGACAGTAAAACGGAAATGGTTTGGACATAATAAGTTCACACCCGATCTAAAGTTTGAAGGGTTTCTTTTAGTACACAGTGTTTTATACTCCTATTTCCTGCCACCTGCAAATTCTTCGTTTGACTTTCAAGTCAAAGTTTTCAGTATTTTGTTACTAAATAAAACATGAATTATAATAGCAAAAAATGAAAGAATTTATATGCATACTCTGATTATGTAAATATAATCAGGGTTTGGGAAAGGTCACATTTTTATTAAAAAAAAATATGAATAAGTATATCTAATTTTTTTTTGGAAATTATTAGTCATAAATCACCAACATATTTAAGGTTTTATTTTATTTTTTGCATAAGTTTAAAAGTCGAGTCTTTTGTGTTATTTTGGCCCCTTTTTTGCACCGTTAGATCTGCTCTCAGCTCTTTTTTGCTCTTTACGGTGGGTATAAAAAAAGTGGGTTTTTGTTTTTGGGTTTTATTTCCTCTTCATCATATACATGTTAATTAAGTGGTCTCATATATATTACATATTTCTCTCTACCTCTCCCGGGAAAAAAATTCTTATGATTTGATTTTTTTAGTCAAACTGTGTAACACCGTACTCTAACCACAAATAAAGTATTGTTTTAAGTAATTAATTATTTAAAAATTTAATATATCAAAATTATATTTTAAAATTAACCCAATTATTTATACTCAAAACATAACACAATTTGATAAGAAAAGGTCAAACTGTAATGATCTTTTTGAGGCAGAGTGTGATTAATAGGTCAAACTATTTTGTTTTTGATGTGTATATATAAATAAACAGGGTGATACCCAAAAAGAAGGTTGGGAAGAGGCAAAGAGAGCCAAGATATGCGTTCATGACAAAGAGTGAAATAGATCACTTGGATGATGGGTATAGATGGAGAAAGTATGGCCAAAAAGCAGTAAAAAACAGCCCCTTTCCAAGGTATGTACGTACTATATATCCCATTCTTCACTTTCACACGCAACACACACTTTCACAATGCACATTACACACACACACACATACATTTTCCTTTCATGTTTAACCACGCAAGAAAAGTAAGAAAGGGAATGTGTTTATGAACCATCCAATTTAATTCTTTGTGGTCATATTCAATCATTCCTATGTCCCCTCTATAATAATATTCTATGGATAGCTACTTGTGGAATCATTAGATTGTAACTGCGAGTCACGAGTCGTTTAGTGCGATTTCATGCCTAATTTGTGGAGAAATCGAGGAAGGGGTCGGCGCGAACGAGCTCTGGTGGCTACTTCGATCCCGGCCACATCCCCTCTAATATTTGATTAAATTTTGGAACGTTTTAAATTTACATTTTGTTGGAAACAGGAGCTACTACCGTTGCACAACGACTGGTTGTGGTGTGAAGAAGAGGATAGAGAGGTTGTTGGAGGATTCAGGGATTGTTGTCACAACATATGAGGGAATGCACAAACACCCGTGCCCCATTACGCCTCGTAGTCACATTGCGAATATGCCAAAGACTGCAGCCATACTAGGTGAACGCGCTAGCCCCTGCCGTGGTGGTGGTGGTGGTGGTAGTGGTGGTGGTGGCATCGGAAGTGGGAGTTCATCTTTTCTCTTACCTCCTCATCCTAATATGACACACAACCTTCATCCTCGTCCGCTGAACCACCACCACCACCAACAACAACAACTGCAACTGCAACAACCGACTAATTTTGCAATCGTACCCCCAGATTTCCCTTCTCCTTTGACCTTAATGAACAAACCTCCAACTAGCAAACCAATGCTCCCCCCACCCAACATTTTGCGTCAAGATAGGAGCCCGTCGTCGTTGCTTCTTCCTCGATCTCCAGCTCCTCCCTCTTCAACGACGATCCGAGATGGTGGCCTTCTACAAGATATACTTCCATCTTTTAATGAGAAAGGCGCCAAAGAAAGCGGGTGGTTATTAAGCGAAAGATGAATGAGTTCTCTTAATTAATTATAACAAATCAGATCAGAGATGTAATGCCATGTGACATGTGTTTATGTCTTCCTTCTTTAAATATGTTGGTTAATCATGTTTAACAGATCATCCCCATTTAATTTAATGTTGTGTTCATGGCAAAAATCAAGCATGGACCTGCTAGCTAACTATAGAGCTAGCTAGGTTTTTTTAAGTGGTTCTTTAATTCCTTGTTTCTTTAATTGCATAGTTTTGGATTTTGGGCCATGGAGATATAAAATAATTGGATGGGTTCCATTTGTACATTACTTTGATGAGATCCCTTTTTCATTTAATGGAGTTTCCCTTAGTGCAAAATGATATCTTTTTACCCATTCAGCCTTGTTCCCTTCCATTGCCTTTCTTGTTTCTGCATGCGTGTGCATTGCTGCTGGCTAATTATTATAGTTATATAGATAGGGTTAGGGTTTTCATTCAATGAGGAAATTTATATTCATTCCTTTTTATTTCAAAAAGGGTATGGAATCATTAAAAGGATTGCTAGTGTTACTATGTCTGTTTTTTAGTATTTGTTCAATTTTAACTTTTTGTAGTCAAAATTGATAAATTTGACCACTAATTAAACAAGCCGATATTAGATATTGATACAAAACTAATTTATTAAATTTATTTTATACAATATTTTCAAAATATTATTTTATCTAGTTAATATATACTCCGTATCATATACTCCGTACTTCGTAGTTCTTATTTAATTCAAGGTCAAATTAAAGATTGAAAATGATTGACCGCAAAAGATCAAAACTAGACAAATTAAATACTCACTGATGAAGATAGTACAATATGGTGGCTTAATGGAGCAACTAATTTTGAAAGGAGTATGTTTTTAGTAGAAGTAACTTGTATTTATGTTTAATTCACTCTTTTGCTCCCTCCGTTTTACAAAATATTGCCCCCTAACTTTTCGTGCATGCTTCAAAACACTTCTGCCTAACTTAAAATGTCTAAAGTACACTTCCATTTCGTACTTTATTGCGGGTGCAAGTTGTTTCGAGGGTATTTTAAACATTATATTTTAAGTGGAGTAAAAGTGTTTTATGGGGTGCGCGATAGATTAGACCGGAAGTGTTTTGTGAAACAAGGAGTATAATTTGTTATTCATGTTTTTCGATAAATACTGGTTTTACATCTCATAGATAGTTGTGCCTCATATTGTCTCACTTTTTATGATCACTATATGTTGAATCATATTAATGGATTCAGAGAGAACATCACATTGAATTATTAGATCATAACCAAATATACATTACTTGCAAAGTTCAATCAAGTTTTATCGAGCTTGATTTATGAAGTGGGCCGGAAGGAATAGGATTTGAGCGAAGCATAGTTCTCTTGGTCTTGTTGGGATTTTTCCCTACCTCTGGTTTTTTTTAGTGAAATATGGAAATTTATTTTTGTTTAAACCAATGAATAATATTCCTCCGTCCCTGAATATTTGTCCACTTTTGACTTTTTCGGTTCCGTCCCTAAGTATTTTTCCACCTTTGACTTTTTCGGTCAAACTTGGTAAACTTTGACCTCAAATTGAATAAAAATGATGTTAGATATTGATGCAAAAGTAGTTTTATTAGATTTATTATATCAAATGTTTTCAAAATATTATTTTATCTAAATAATATAGAACATATATATTATTTATTTATAGGTCAAAAATTTAAAATAATTGACCAAAAAATCAAAACCGGACAAATACTCAGGTACGGAAGTAGTAATTTTTTAAATTTGAATGACGGTGAATTTCAAAGTTGTGGTTGTCAACAAAGCTTCGATACCATCCCAAAGAATCAACTCAACAACAAGCCCAAGCTTATCGTTGTATGCCCATGGCATGAATGGTTTTTATATTATAACGTGTTCCTTCATGTGCAGACATAGTTGCTTCGAAACTTAAAAAATTAAACCAACTCAATAAGAAATTAAAATTTGTAATAATATTTAGGTCCATGAAAGGATTTTATGCTGCCACGCCCATATTTTTCGTTTCTCCATTTTGATCAAATCATTAGTTCGTACAAAACTATCTCTAACCTACAAAGGAATTAGAATTATACATAAAAACTATCGAAGTGCTTCAATGACTTATAATACATTTCATTTAAGTCATTTTAGAAAAATACTTCAATAAACATCGGATAAATTTAAAATTGTTTATAAGTAATAAGTCAATAAGACCAACCAACACAAACAAACAAATTGTTGTTACTCCGTAATTTATTTATAAGAAGGATGAGCAAATAGCTTACAAGATACACTAAATGTGTGTATCTTCTACTTTAATTTACTCATGTGTGTCGCCTCGCCCTCATAGGCTCCTGTTAGGCAATAATATTAAGTATTTCTAGTTATAGTAGAAGTTGTATTTTAGTTAGTTTCCATTCTCTATTCCTAGTTGTGTTAGGAGTCTCTTCTATATATACTCTATCATGTACTTCATAATTCAAGAAGCAATATTATTATTCTTATATTTCAACAGCTCCTATTACCCTATTATGCTAAACGTTAGTTATATAGTCCAAGAGTCAAGCCACCTGATTTTGGACCTCAAGAACTTGGTTTTAATATAAAAGAGTTGCATTAAAGCTAATCTATATATTGAACTTTTATAGCCAATAGGTGTTGTGCAGTTAGCAAACATAAAGAGTACTAAAGAAGTAAGACCTAAGTTCGATTTCTAGTAATTGCGCTGCAAAGCAACTATGCTAAACATAGAGCTGCTGCATGTGTCTGGTGCATGCTTCCTTCATTGTCACTAATCTGTCCGTCCGACCACGTCTAAGGGAACCCTTGGGATGGGGCTCGTGCTCATTGTTTTATTGAACTTTTATAGAGTTGCATTTAAGTTTGGATTGTCCAAAAGTAAATGCTACAATTATGGTTAGGAAGGCGCCTAAAGCCCTTTATTTCAATTAGGGCCCCTTAATGGTTTTCACTTAATACTCCGTACTATGAGTTTTTTACATTATTATTCCTGAAATTTTAAGAAAAATGAATTCTCTATGAACTTTAAAAATTATACCAATGGTTCTTGAACTTTTGAAAACGTTATAACAATGGCCCATCTATGCCAAGTGCAACACTCTCATCGTTGATTACATGTGATTCTTGCTTTAATTTGAACTAGATAAGAGTTTGAAAACTATTTCAATTTTATATCAAAATTTTGTAGGAGACTACGTTCTACAATCTTAGTAGAGTAATCTTTGGGGTACACCAACTTCTACTCCAACTTCTCACTTCACTTTTTATTCACATTTGAATATTTAGATTCTATAAGAAACACTTCACATGTGGTGGATGCATGAGTGGTGAACAATTTGGAGTACAACTTAGTGTGTCCCAAGGTATTTTTTTTCTTTAAAACTAGAGTTAAAAAGGGATGTTTCCAAATTAATTTCTCATCGTTACTTCCACAAAATCCAATAATGCAACATTAAGAACACTTGTAAGTTGTATTTATAACTATGCATTCATAAGCTAAGAGAGATCTACGCTGAGTTAAGTCTATTGATATTAGTTTGAAGGCGAATTCTTATAATATGGTTCTTGTGTCCATGCTTATTATATGACCCTTCATATATAATAATAATGAAACATTACAAAAAAAAGGTCCATTTGTCAGCCAATAAATAGTGTAAGTCCATATTTTCTTTGTGGACATTAGAACCACAGAAGTACAACTTTAGTTTGATTTGTTTCCTATTACTCGATATAATTCAATTTCATTTTAAATTAGATTACTCCATGTAATTTCAGTGTTGAAAGTAAAACCTTTTTGCCAAAGTAGCGCGTCATGTTTTTTTGGAAATTTTTACGTAGTACATTCTAATTCCAACAACTCGTCTTTTTTGGAAGCATCTTAGAAAATTCACCAAATTTTTGTTGGCGAAGTATCCTCTCAACACAAGAGCTTTTGGCGTCGAGAGTAAGAAGAAAGGTCAAAAGTGGTGAGGATACATTGGCGCGGGGTTCTCTGTGGCCAAGATAGTTAAAATTTTGGACTTCAAAGCCTTGTTGACCAAAATATATTTTAGAATTTTATATTTTCGCATGGGGTTCTCCGTTGGTCAACAACGCTTTGAATTTTTATTTCATAGTTAAAATTCTTATTCCAAAATATAAAATACTAGAAACGTCCTATTTAGGGAAAGAGCCAAAAATTTACTTTAAACAATTTTTGGTGTGTGATAAAATAAAAAGTAGCTTAAAAACACTTTTTAAAAACATCCAAACTTCTCAAAGTCAAAAGCAACTAATTACATGTTTCTTACTTTCACTTGTTACTTTTGGATAAGGTTTTAGGCATTAACATTGTAAAAATATAAGAAGAGTGATAATCTTACATCATTTTATTGGTGTAGACTAGGGGGGTTTTCCGAGGTGGTTAGGAGATATGAAAAATCAATTTTACGACCGAAGCATCGTAAGTGCTCCAATTAAGTTAGTGTAACAGTGTTACACCAATTAAGTTGGTGTAAGATTACCTTGCTCAAAATATAATGTACCCGGAGTATGAACTATGATGATTTTTAACTTATCATTTAACATATAATTTTTAACTTATAAGCAATAAGTCAGTAAAAACATCACCAAAGTGTCCACAACAAAGTCAATTCCACATTATTGCCAGAAGGAATCAAACCATGTTACCTGAACAATTGCACTTTCTAAACCTCTCCAAATAAACAAGTCAAAGCCACAAAGAGTTGACTTGGAACCATTGTACCTTGCCAAGCTGTGTTCTTTGTGGAAGTGGGAACCCACAAGGCCAAAACTGACAATCAACCATTCTGATTTTCAAGAAACTACAGCCCAACCTTTTGGACTTGAAAGCATGGAAGCACACACAATGTCAAGAGAAACAGACACTTGGGCACACATAAATAAAAATAAAATAAAACTATGTGATTGATTTTGAACTAATAAAGTACAAAATATTAATCAAGCAGCAAAAATGATACTCTTCATGTCTCAATTCATTTTGCCTGCTTAAATTTTTATTAGTCAAAGTTTATTAACTTTAACTCAATTTCACATATAAATCGCATTTAGTTATATTGTAAGTTTAATATCATCGAGATTCATTTTAATACAATGGCGGATTTAGAAATTCAATATACGGTTTTGGCTGAAATTTTATATTCCTGTTTAATATATTCATTGATGTCATGTCCTATGAGACTTTAACAATTACTAAGGTTTATCAATAGTGAAGTGAACTTCTATATTGTAAATTGGATACCTTAAGAATCCAGATGAACCATTTTCTTTAAATGGCTAAATAAGTCACCAGTTCAATAACTCAGCACCAAAGAAAACGATAATGCAATAAGGTAAGGAACTACGGCATGAAAAATTTGGGACATTGTGAAATTTTTATACTCCCTCCGTCCAAATTGGTTCTTCCCATTATGACTTTCCCATTATGAACATATACCCACGTGTACCCACCGGCGGCGCCAAGTATACCTAACTATAACTGAACCGTCCTATTTGTGAGCAGACCCGACCGGAAAATACTAGGTTTTCAACCAAGATTTTGTTATCTGAACCCAATGATGAGCCAAAATGACACGCTAAAATGGGTCAAACATGATCGAACCCGTACGCGCTCTAACCAACCTGCTAAGATATGATTGTTTCAAAATCAGGTACTCCCTCCATCCCAAAATAAAAGTCCACTTTGATCGGACACGGAGTTTAATAAAAGTGTTGAGAAGTGAAAATTATGTGATTTGATTGGAATTGATTTGAAAGAGAGACAGTGATGGCCACATATTCCTAGCCAAAAAAATGAAATGGACTTTTATATCTTAGGAGGTACCAAAAAGGGAAGTGCATTGTTTGTCTTGGGACGGAGGAAGTACTTTATTATGAAATATCTAAGAGTGGGGCAGGGGGGCAAGGGGGGTTTAAGGTGGGGGATGGTTAGGGGGTAGTAACCATCAATTTTACCAATAGAGTACCCTAGAGGCCTCGGGTCATTCTAAGGTCACTTTAGCTCGGGTCAAAAGATCCGTTGTGAATATCAAATGATAAAAATCATGTTATCATATTCTTTTTTTCATTTACCCCATTTTATTATACAAATTTATCTTTTCTAACAAGTTTTTAATGATAACTGTATAGTTATCTTACTTTTTTGAAATATTTTATTTTATTTATCATCGCGTGGTAGATACCTAACAACTATTAAAATTTCAAGAGAAAATATTTCTCATAATAGTTCTAATTAGAGTGAATTCTTAGTATTGTCCTTTTTAATAAGGCATTTTCACAAATCAGTCTTCAATAAGCAATAATTACTTACTCCCTCCGTCCAAGATTAAAGTTCTCACTTTGACTTGGCACGGAGTTTAATAATACATGAAATTTGCTTTGACTTTCCTAAATTACCCTTCATCCCTATCCCTTCTCTTTTCTTGTCCACCCATTCAATCGGATGTCCCCCAACAAGGCCAAACTTCCTTTTCGCTCACCGATGGCCGTCACCTATTCCGATCCAATCGGCGCTTCACTGCTCGCCGTCCTACTCCTTCAATCGGCACCTGCACTCCACCACCACCTCCGATCTGAATCAAAATTCTCAGATCTGATGGAGATGAACAAGAAAGAAGAAGAGTTGCAGATGGACTAGGTGTTGGACCATGGGAATTGAAGAAGAAGAAGAAGCGGAGATCGAATCGCCCTTTTACCTCCGACCACCGCCACTGTCACCGCCACCGCCTCGCTGCCTCATCTAAACTCCACGATTCGCTGCTCTCGATTTCCAGGAAAAAATCAGAAGAGCAAAGGAGAAGAAAGAAGTAAAAGAAGAAGAAGAAAGAAGAAAGAAGAAGAAGAAGATGATGATGATAAGAGAAGAGAGAAGAAGAAGAGAGAAAATAGAAGAGAAAAAAGTGACGGCTCGGAGAAGGGAAGGAAAAAGAAAAAGAAAGAATAGGGATTGGGTGGGAAGGATAATTAAGACTTTTTAGTATAAAAAACTTTCCAAAAATAGAAATGAGAAGATTATTTTTGGACGGACGAAAAAGGAAAGTGAGAACTTTATTCATGGACGGAGGGAGTATATGGTACTCCGTACTTCATAATTGAGATATTTTCCTTCGATAGCCCTTAATAAACAATAATTACCTACATGATACTTTATACGGAGTACTTGAGATTTTTTCTTACGATAGTCCTCCAAGAATTGGGATGATATTATAATAATAATAACCTCAGATGGTGTGGTGTGTTCTGGGAAAACATTTAATTAGAAATGACTATTTTGAGAACTTCCTCATAGTTTAGATGATGACAAATGCCAAAATACACTACACTTAATACTCCTTTAATGGACATTTTTTACAAAGAATTACCAAGGGAATAAATGTCAATTATAAAGTACAACCTATGTAATTATTGCTTATTGAGGACTGGTTTGGAAAGCACTCTATTATAAAGGACCATTTTGGGAATTCACTCTTTTTAATTGAAGAAATTTAATTTTTTATTACATTTTTAAGTGAAACACATGTGCTAGGATAAATTTAAATATTTTAAAATCAAACATTTATAACCTTGGAGAGTTGGAGTGTTGGGTCCAATCAAATCCAAAGACATTAGGTCATTAACATGCATTTCCCAACTTGAACTCAACTGACACGAACCCGAACTGACCCAAACCTAAACCTGATCTGACTGCCAGCTCTACTGCCAACTGTTTACCGCCATATAGTGCTCCACTACTTGTAAGCTAAAAAGTTCTAAACTATATAAAATAAATTTAATGGTATATATCCATTACATATCTAAAGGTCCTAAATTAACGTCTTACAATTTCGGTTTTGTGCATCTTACTAACCTTTTTATAATTTTGTTATCATCTATCGTGAAAAATATTTCTCGGAGTATGCTTAATGACATTTGATTTGCACATAAAAGTACAAAAAATGGATAAGTGAATTTTGGTAGGTAAGTGGGCGTGTAAAAGGCAGGTAAAAATTGACTAAGTAGACTTTAGATAGGTGGGGAGAGAACTCACTAGGGCAGGTGGGTTTAGAAACTTTCACCTGTGGCAATTGAATGTTTTTCAAGGCACAATCACTTCATAAAACTATGCATTGATCCAACCTGCATGAGATTTGTATAGAGTATACAATGAAAAACCAACACAAATAGATACTTCTTTTAAACACTTAATGTTATGGTATTGTGAGTAGCAATGTGACATGTGGTTTGCAGCACATAACTATGGCAGATAACCAAAAGGAGAAAAACAAAAATGGTATTAAGAAAAAATATGAGTAGCATTTAAGTAATGCCAAAACCAAGAGGAAAGTAGAGTACCTTCTTAGCTCAGGTCTCGAAGAATCTGATTGACTTGAGTTCACAAAGTTATTCGCTGCCAACATGGAAAGAAGTCATTCCTGAGGTCAGCCATACCCGAACGAAATTGTGTACCAGATATTACTCCATAGATCAAATTGAATAAAAAGAAAAATGTCCAAACTTTTCAGACATTATTTCATGAACCTCGGGAGAAACCTGGCAAGGCCTAAACAAAAATGGAAACCACTGTCTGATTATCCACTTTTTTTGTAATTGAAAGCAGGACAATTATAGACTAAGCAGATGGGAAACTAACAGGAAACAGATACGCAAACTGAGTTGATCAGAAATATATTAAAACTCAACGTAGAGCCTGGGAGTCAATATCTGGAGGTAATAACTGAAACTAAGTGGTACATATATGAAAGTCACACTCAAAACAAGTATATTCTACTCTCATTGTAGAGATATGATGTCATTCAGAGAAGTACTGCCAACCAGCAGCAATGCAAGCTACTACTATGACCTTCATTATCAGCTTTGAATTCAATAAAGATGAAGAAGATGGCAGCGATGATGCTAGTGTGTGAGGTTCACATGGTCTTCCTCTCAATTTAGAAAATAATTTGGATACTAGCATGGTTAGATGACCTGTCCTTTTTGAAGCTGCAAAGCAAAATGAACCATTTGGGTTTCCCCCAGTCAAAAAAAAAAAAAAATCAGATCGCCTAACGAAGTGAAAATTGAGAATGGAAGTGTCAAATCTCTACTTCAAAACAATTCATTCTCTCTGTGAGTAAATACCTTCACTTTTCAACAGACGCTCTTCTTCACCAGCACGCCTTAGTAGTGCATTAAGCAGTGATCCAAAGTAAAGCGCAAAAACTGTGCACGTAATTGTGATAACATTGTATGGCATGCTAAAATCAGGTGTTGTCAAAGGAACAAGTAAGACTTCTGTGTAAGAAACAACAGGGCTTTCATCCTACAAATATATCAAGATTGTAAATTACAAACTGGACAAGATTGTCAAGTACATTATAACTCCAATAACTTAATACACGATTAATTAATAATTGCACTAAATTAATAAATTGGTCGTCCCAATTTGGGCCAATGTACAAAAATTAGTAAATTTTTATAAGTTACCAGATTTTCAAAAGACCTTTATCTATTTATAGTATTTATATAGGTCCCATCAATTCCACACTTTCTTGACATTTTTTTATGATACAAAAGTCAAGTACCTGTAGTTTAGATACAATAGGCAGTTTCATGGTGGAGTTATCCTCAACTAGATGCAAGCTTGTTTTGAACTCAGGGAAACTAATTACAGCTGATGGGATGTCAAACCCTTGATTAGCATCAGGAGGATATTCATCAATGTGAAGAAACCCCTGCAAATGATGTGAGAGTCTGTGACCAATGGAAGAATTGCATCTTCTATCAATTATAGATTGTGCCATCAAAATCATCCGTTGAAATAGTCATTATTTACAAAGTTGACAGAGTTTACTGGCAGGCATATTTAGAATGGCATACTCACTTGCATTTCTAAATAGATAGATCAGTCCATATAGCAAAAGAAAATTAAGTTAATACATGCTTTAGTACTTCAACTTTACACTTTACTCAATTTGATCCTAAGCTATCTTTTGGACTCAATTTAGTCATCAAAGTATCATATATAATTCACTGTAATGAAGGAGAGCATTTTCATGCGTTGAAGACAAAATTTAGTCCAGATTACATTATTGAGGACAAAAATGAGTCCTAAATTGGGTATAGATTTAGTGATTAGAGAGAATAGCCTTTATATTTAGACGCAAATATTTAGAGGTCCAAATTGAGTATTAAAATGTTGAGGACCAAATAGTGTGATGATAGTGTATAGTCGAGGGATTAAACCAGGTATTAACTCTAAGAATTTCATGCAGTAAGATTCCAATCTTAAACATTATTTTTCTGCAATACCTTGTCAAAGTCCAGAGTAAATGCAGCTGACTTCACATCACATGGTAATCTCAAAGTAAGCTCCATTAGTCCAGGAGAAACCTTGTCTTCAGAAGGTGAAACTCTCACCTTTTCAATGATATCTGTTACAGATTTGGCACGTCCATCCAGGAAAATCTTAAGTGTATGATAATAGACCTTGACATACCAAGGCACAACTTGAAAGACATTGACCCTCAAAAAGCAATTTCCTTCACCACCAGTTGCAAACTGTTCCTCGCCAATAATCCCCGTGGACTTGAAAGAGATGGCTATGGCACCCCTTTCGTTCCCACTTCCCATTAGGAACCTGCTTGCATGCAATGGTGCTAACTGACTTGACCACCTTACTGGTTGCTTCCACCTAAAGCCCAAATCAAATGGTTTGGACTGAGTGTAGTTTTCAATTGAAAATTCACAGAGAATAGATCTCTCCTCTTCAGAAGAGCTATATCCTTCTTTTATTACCCTGACCGGAGGCAAAGATATTTCAAAGGTCGGGTTTTTCCATGAAACATCAGATACGGAGTCAAATTTATCGTCTTTATTCAGTAGAGTCTTCAACTTGGATACTAAATTCTGCTCAAGATGGACGTAAACATTACTAGAACGGGAAAGAGAGCATTTTTCATAAACTTTCCTTCCAAACAAGGAGCTAAGAGACCAACTAGGTTGTACTATTGACCCATCAAAAACATTCGAGCCAACTCTGAACATATTTGGTTGAAGTACAGTTGTGAGTGTTTGTTCAAGCACTACTCCAGATCTTGATTCGGCTAGAACAAACTCATTTGAAATCAAGTGCAATTTTTGGGAGTGATAAAATCCTCTGTATACAGATGGTCTGTCCATTAATGCAGCAATTCCAGCTTTGTCTCGACAAGGAAGCAACTTCAACCAAGGAGTAAGGTTCTCAGTGCAAACAGACTCGCGGGGCAGTGTACCATATCTCAAGTTTCCAGAAACTGATGGGAAACTCCACTCTGGAGAAGCATAGGCAGTCGAAGACTCTAAAAAGTTGATGGAAGCACAAAAGAGTCCCGAAAGAGCATGTGTTAAATTCTTCCAGGAAGTTTCAACTTGATTGTTGGGAACATCAAAAACAGCCCAAAGTTCAACCCCAGGGGGCTTTGCAGTCTTGCTCACAATTGGATCATATCCACCCCATTGTTCATAATTCCACCGGCCTTGTGTGAAAGACAACTCCATTTCTCGTATGTGAAATTTGTGCACCTAAATTGCAGTGAAGAGTAGTAATCATCTACAAACTATGAATGGTTCAACTCATATCTAAGCTATTAAAGCTGTAGACGCTCTAACCACATACAAGGGACAAGAAAGAAAAGAAAACAACAACAAGAACAGTACAATCACAGCCCCATAGGTGGCGGCACAATCTACAAACCATACCCCTTGAGTTGTAAACAAGGCAAAAAAATTGAATTGAAAATAATGGTTTTTGTTCGGGGAAAAAAACAAACAAATACATAATAAATATAAATGCACTCCAACATTGGGATATAAGTCAATAAGTAATAACTCAAGGTCATTGAAAATAAAATATTAAACAAGCAACTCAACTAGATTAAACAAAACAAACAACTAAAGTAATACAATATGATAAATAAAACAAACTAGTTGCCAGAAGTGAGCAACTCAAGTAGATTAAAGAAAAATGATGATTCAGATCCTGAAGCACATTGAAATAAACCACTAGCAAAAAAACGGCTTACGAGCTGATAGATTGATTTAGGGAAGAGATTGTGATGGCGGCCATGTGTATGAGTTGGGGGAGCTTTGCTTTCAAAGTGAAAATGGGCAAGCACTTTGCGATCAGGCAGAGGCCTCAACAGAAGTGCTTCTGAAAACTCTTCGTCATCTGCTATTGTGCATGTATAGCTCAGAATGAGTGTAATCAACATCAAGAATGACTTCAATCTAGCCATCTGTGAAATGCCGATCCACCCACCCAAGGGTCTCTCACATTTGCTGAAAATTACCTAAAAATAGGTACAATCTTCCCCAATTGTTAATGCTCTCACAAGATCGCCTGCATAAAAGAAAAATAAACATACCCTGAACAAGCCAGCTAACAACCATCCATCCTCGATCTTCCACCGCCCCCACCCTCCAAGGCGTCCCAAGCAGTCTGAGCTTCAGAGGAATATCCTCTCCAGCCGCCGCTTCTGTCAGGGCCAGTTCCTAAGATTTCTTAGGCTCCGGCGAAGAAATTAGCTAAAAAGTTACTCCGTATTTTATTAAAATTGAATTGCTATAAATATAATAATAAATGTTTTGTAAATCAAAACAAATAGTATAAATTATCCAGAATAATCCAAAATTTATTTTTTCTTTCAAAAATAATTATTACTTTCATTGTGATGCATAATAATCTTAATTTTCCTAAAAATTATGAGTTTTGGATCGCCATTAAATTACTAACGGCAAGTTAACGGAAACGACATGTTTATGAAAGTTGAACTTATTTTTTATGAATTTTGTTTTTTATTTTTTTATTTTTTGAAATTTTCATTTAAATTTTTAAAATCAATTTATACCTCCATCATTTGTTTTTCTTTTTTTAAAGATTAGTCTTACTTTAAAAAATTAAAATAATAGATATAAAAATAACCAAAATCAAAAAAATAACTAAAGCAATAAAAGATTAGTAAAATAAATAAAGTAATGAATAGAAACTAACTTGAAATTGGTAAGAAGTAAAATAAAAATAAACGAAGTAGTGGATTTTAATACTTTACGTACGATACAAAGTATTAATGTATCACTTTTTATTTTTTAGTACTCCGTAGTACATTAAAACTCTATATAGTATATAAAATGTTCAAATTCACCACTGCGTATATACTCCGTATTTATTTTATTTCTTACCAGTTTCAATTTAATTTCCATTGATTACCTTATTTATTTTATTAATTTTGCATGATTTTAGTTATTTTTCTCATTTTTAAAAATGAGAAAAAATAATCATAACTTTCATTTTGTTGTGCAAAATAAGCTTTTCTTTTAACTCGCCGTTAGCAACTTAACGGTGACCCAAACTTGAAATTTTTAGTAAAATTGAGATTATTATATATCATAGTGAAATGTGAAATTATTTTTGAAATACCAGACATTAAGGAAAAGTCGCCAAACAAGGAGAGAACACATCTTTAAGAGCAAAAAGCTAAGGTCATGTTCACTTCAATTTATTTCTGCTACTTAATGTGTATTATTATTCGAATCAAATCAGATTTATTCAGATCAGTTTAGAAAATATTAGATTCATTCAGATCAGATCAGATCGATACATTTAGATTTAATTAGACCAGATTAGAAAAGTTTTTTAAAAATAGTTGTAAATAATTTTAAAATAATAATAATAAAAAATTACAATAATAAAAATAGTAAGTATTATTTTCATTATTAATTAATAATAATACTATTGAATAATAACAATAAAAGTAATAGTAATAAACAATAATAATAATAATTAAATTAATAATATTAATTATTATTATTAAATAATAATTCATAATAACGATAGTAATAATTAATAATAATATTTATTTTCAAATATACTATTAACAATAATTATTGTTAACAAAAATAATAGACTTTAACAATAATTATTATTTTAATTATAATTATAATTAATAATGATAATGATCATCATTAATGATAACATGTAATAACAACGATAGTAATTTATTATAATAATAGTAATTACAATTATTAAATAAAAATGATAACAATAATAATAATATCAATCAATAGTTACAATTATAATTTTTAATAATAAAAATGTTATTGTAAATATTAATAATAAAAACTATTAATAATAATTAATAAATTATTATTATTCGAATTTGAATTAGAATTAAATTCATTCAAATCAGATCAGATTTATTCAAATGAAAGTTGAGCAGCCTTAAAAAATTCAATTCAAATTAGGCGAACAAAACACATCTTAACTAACTTAAACCAAAAGCTAGAGAGACTAGCATGAGTCCCAAAATGCTAACCAACTATCACAATCTTAGATCTCAAGATCGTTTTATTTAAATTCATATTCTAATTGAGTTTTTTATTGTATAAGTATTCTCATTATCTCCGCCCTTGGGTATAACCGTATAAATTATATATTTATATATTTATAAAGTATATAAAAAAACCTTATAACATAAGAAGTGATAGAAATATTTTATTTTATCAAATACAAATAATCTGCGGATTTGACTAGCTTGTTGTTCGAGACTAAGAGACCGTAAGTGTTCAAAAAAAGGATATTCATTTCAAAAACAAAATAAATTTCCAAAATGATATTCAATAAGTTAATAACTATGTACTTTCCTAAATTAATCCCTAATATAAACTAACTACCGAAATGCTACTAATTAATTGAGAATAATTCTCAATTTAGTTACTTGACTAACAGCTATCAAAACGGTGTCAAAATCACATTAAATCTCATTAATTATGAAAAAATAATTAGTAAATTTTTGAATTAAAAATTCATTAAAATGAAAAAAAAATTAGGATGGTAATATTATAAATAAAAAATAAATATAGTTTAATAAATTTGAAAGTAACGTTTGAAATTGTTTAAAATTTATTTAAAAGGATATTAGGTAATTTGAATAATTAATAAACATTACTTAGTTGCTCTTCAGTTTTAAAACTAGCATAAATTTTAAAATCGTTTGGAAATTAGTACAGGTTATAACACTGTATTAATTGTCATTGACTGAGAGACTAAGCTGAACATTAATCTTAAGGGATATGCTAGAGGTACATCAAAAGGTGTACCCCAAATGTATACAACCCCTCTCTTTACCATTCATTTTATTTTCTTTTTAATTTTTATTTTTTTTTTGAAATTTTCTTGCTTTTTTTTTGTGGTGATGGAGGGGTGGAGGATGTTTGGGGTACACTTTTGGTCTACCTCTAGCATTTTCCTAATCTCAATGAGAGGGCGTTTGGGGTTGTGTTTAAAAACAACTTATGAGCTTTTGCTTCACTAAAGTAATATTTATCGTGTTTATCAATCTACTTCTGCTTATAGATTATGACTTCTACCGTTTAAAATAAGCTCTAAAGTTGTTTTTAAGCAAAGTTAAAAATAGTTGCTTTTCACTTCAACTTAAAACTTTTATTTTTTAAACAATTTATCACACTTACAAACACCCTCTGAGTATCATATCAATGATTAATTCAGACCAATTTGAGAAAATATATAATTATTAAATAGAATTACTTTTAATAATAAGGAGTATTATTCAACCCTACCTGCCTTCCCTTTAGAACTCTTTCTTGCCGTTATCCTGACTGAATTTTCCCCAAAATTTCTCTCTCACACTCTCTGACTCCGAACCAAATCCGACCAGTGGACGACGTCCCACGGGCCACCACCGCTCATCTCCGTCATTTCCAATGCGACCTCGCCGCCTCGCCTCTCTTTCCTCCTGAAGCGTCTTCATGAATTGATACTCTTCCATTATTACATAGCATTCATCAATCATCAAGGTAACTAATTACTCCGTAAATTAAATTGAAACTTGACTTTCTAGATCGTTGTGCAGTTAATTTGTTTTTTAGATTGGTCTTTCGATTCAACAAGCAATTAGTATTGTTCCATTATCTAGTGAATTTAGGTTCTAGGGTTTAATTTTTTATTGCGAAAAAGGAGAAGTTTTATTTAATGAAATGCAGAAAAAAATTACAACCAATAGCTGTTTCGCAAAGAAAAACAGAATGAAAAAACAACTCCCCTCCATCTCGTGTTCTACCTGCTAGAGACCAAACTAATTATGAATTATGATACATACTTCTCATCTCCATCAGCAAATGAGAAGCTATTAGGGTTTTAGGAATTAGGATTATTTGTTTATTTAATACGGAGTATATAGTTTATTTGTTACGTGCTTATTATTTATAATTTTTCAACTATTACTCGACTATAAGTTTTTTTGAATTTTTTTATGTTAATCTAGGATGCTTATATATTTTAAAACACACCCAAGATTTAATGAAATTGAATCAAGTGGGAGTAGCTCCAATTTGTCCTCGAATGAACCTCCATCTTCCAATGAAGCAGTGGGAGTAGCTCCAATTTGTACTCGAATGAACCTCCATCTTCCAATGAACCAGTGGGAGTAGCTCCAATATGTACTCGAAAGAAACTCCATCTTGCAACGAACAATTACAACAACTAATTGCTCAGTCTGCAACTTGAAACTATATTACCTGATATGGGAACTCAAGTGAAAAACATTGATTTTGAACGTTCGAAAGCTGACCCTGAGTTGTCTGTTTTACTCTAAGTGATGATGTTATAATAAATCACTTTCAAGATATGAAAACCAGGGAAGCACAATTATAGAATACATATTTTATATGTGTTATGTAACTTTATGAATAATTATCAGTTCACCGCACAATATTATCTTAATACAAATTTGATGTTATCTTTTTAATATAAAGGTGCAATAATTTATGGTTTGGTTTAGTCATAATCCAACCCGGAAACAACACCGACTTTGATCGTATTATTTCAGACAAGGGACCCAATGGGTTGATTTTTCTGGGTTTGCCATTGCTTGTCGTTGTACGAACCCTTGCTTTCTCAGTACAGCTAATTCAAGTTTTTCATAGATGTCTGTAATGGAATGCAGGGGCGTATGATATAGTTGGCCAAATAGAAAAGTGTTTCATGCATAAAATTTAATATTTAAAATTTAAATCCTAAGAACAATGTCATTTTAGCATTTCTTTATTTATGAGTATTTTATTTTTGAAAAAAGTCGTTTTTATACTTGTTAGTCATAACAAAATAAACCATCCTTCCAAAAGTTCCAGCCTCATCTGTTCCCTCGATTTCAAAATTCCAACTCCTCCAACTCTCTTAGGTAAATCTGTTGTGTGCTTTCCTACATTGTGAAGTGCAACAATTATTTTAATTTATTAGGTTCATTGCAGGATGAAATCTATTCTAGGCATCGTGATTTATGCCAATGTTGGGGTTTCTAGGAAGTTGTGCAGCTCTAAAATGATCAGAACCTTTTCTACGAATCAGGAATTTGGTTTGTATATAATCTTAAGTTGATATAAATAAATGTTGATCTCATGTTGCTATATTTAGAACTCTTTATGTATTTTAGCTTTTTGGTGCAGATGATAGCAGTTTTAATCAACGCTCATTTGAGTCTGCCAATCCGTCTGAGCAGCGGCCTATTGATGGCACTTTCAGGAGTGCACCAACTTTTAAACCATATTACCAACGTGTTGATAGAGCTCAGAGAGATTATAGACATACGAATCCGGGATTTGGTTTGTAATTATTTTATTTTTTTAAAAAAAAGTTTCTGATGTCTTCATAAATTGGATGTTGCTATATTCAGGATTCTTTACATAGTTTTTTTTAGGTGCAGAAAATAGCAGGATTAATCGAAGTTCATTCCAGTCCCCCAATTACTCAGAGCAAAGGCCTTTTCGTGATTCTATGGGTTCGGGATTGGTTTTTACTAAAATGTTTCGATTTTGTTAAGGTCTCAAATAATCTCACGAAGCTACTTTCAGATTTTTTTAAAAAAAATATATATTTTTTCTGTTTGGTACAGATAATAAAAGGTTCAATCAAGGCAAATTCGAGTTTGGAAATTTCTCTGACCAGCAGCCTTTTGGTGATACTACGGGGAAAACATCAGCATCTAAATCCTTTTACCATCAACTTGATAGGGCTGAGAGAGAGTACAACAAATCTTTTCAGGGATCCGGTGTCAATTCAGAAAATACTTCAGCATCTTTAGACGGTCTGGATGAGAGTATTAACACATTGTGTGATGGAATGGATAGTAAGTTGAAGGAGGCAGCTGCATATTTTGAGTTTGACCCTGTTGAAGTTGAGAAAGATGGTTATTCTTTCAGAAAGGATGTGGCTTTTTACCCTGGGAATACTTATGACACTAAGGTACACACACATGAAATTTAGAACTCTTCTGTGTGGAATCATTTGTGATAGTTTATGTCCTCTCCCAGCACAGTAATTATCCGTTGGTCTCACTCACGACAACATTTTTTTATAATTTTCGTTCAATTCAGGATCTTGATCTAAGAAAACGAGCAGTACAAAAGCCATGGAGAAGGCCATCATTTCAAACGACAACAAAGGAAGTCTTGGAAAAAGCTGATTTCAGGGTGAGTGTTTGGTTCTGCACTATTTAATTAATATGTTCTCTTGTCTATATCCAACGTTTTAAAAAGTTAAATGGTAAAATGGCCTCTTAAACACTGGGTAAATTCTCTCTCACCAATCACCGTTAATTTGCCACACTATTGACTCGTTTAAATTGTGTACAGAATGTTAGATTTCTTGCCAATTTCATCACAGACGCTGGAATTATCATCAAGAGGAGCACGGTAAACAGTGAAATGATTCTGTCAAGTTTTCGTGAGATTTATTTATAAAGAAGTGTTAAGAATATGAAGTTTATTATCTAATGACCTCTCTACCCTTGCTGTTGTTGATGATTATCGCATACAGACTGGAATTAGTGCCAAGGCCCAAAGGAAAGTTGCTAGGGAGATAAAGACTGCACGGGCTTTCGGCCTTCTGCCATTTACAACTATGGGAACCAAACAGTTTGTGTACGGGAGAACCATGGAGAACCTCGAGAGCGATTATGCCTACGAGTCTTACTACCACAACTTTGTTGATGATACTGATGCGAATGTGGAACCAGTTGACTGAGGACCGAACCCTTCCGGTTTTACCCCCCAATAATCTTTCCAGTAAGCTATGAGTGAAACTGATTTTGCACGAGAATTCGCGTTTTTAAGAAACCATATTTTGTTTCTTAGTTTTGAAATCTGTGGATGTTATTGAACAGTAAAGCTGTGAGTTTTTCTCCTATGGCCAAACTCCAAAGCAGTAATTGATATTCTTTTTTTTTATTGTCTCTGTTTCTGGGATGCCTTCAAGTGAATCATCATTCATGAATGGTAAAATTAGATGGGGGTGGTGGTAGAATTACCAAACTAGGTCATAGGTGACAACATCAAACTGAATCACATGGGGATTAGGTGAACAGTTTGAGGTACAGCTTGAAACATTCATAGAACAACACAGGCATGGCTTGGGCTTGGTCTAGTTTCAAAATTGCCTGCTAATGTTCATACATACTTTCTCAACATGTTAAAACGCACAGAGTCAATGTCTCTACTGGGTTCGAACCTGGATCAGCTTTCCATCTAAATTTCTTGGGGGCGATACTCCCACTACTCAAGCTAAGAGAATGTCACGTTCCTTTTAATTAAGACACGGAACGCGTGATTCAGAAAAATTTAATTATACTACATATTTTACTTTTTAACATTTCTTTTTTAACTTTGATAAAGTCAAAATCAGACAATTTTTACAGGACGGTTGAGTTTTTTGGGTTTACATTAAAAATATAAAGAATGAAGTTAAAGAACGAAGTTAAAACAACAAAATCCTTGAAACCACCTTGTTATTCATTCATAGAAAACAACAAATTACCGGTGGCCGGAGGGGCTATTTCCAGTAGACCATTGGCTTGTTAATTATTTGGTGTGTTTTTTTATACTCAATTCACAATAATTTGTTCACTCCAAAATTGGAAAATGGATAACAAAAACCAGAGTTTTTTTAAGGCCATATAATTGGATTTCTAGCTAGAGGGGACCTGTGACATATGATAGGCTTTTAAACATGCAATGTGTAATTGTAACATCATTCAATTTAGCTTTGACTTGTTCTGCTACCTACGCCACATAGCACCACCATATCTGTCTATCTATATAAGAACTAGTTTCACTGCCTAAAGGTTATTTCATGCCCATTTTAATTTTATAAAGAAGAAGAAAAAGAGAGGAAAAAAAAAGAAAAAATGTACTACTACTACTACTGTCACTTGTTGTTCTTGGGGTTGATGATGACCATGATGATGATGAATAATGTTTGGGGAGTGAATAAGTCAAATAATACCCTAAATGAGACATGCTTTGATGGTGCCACAGCCACCTTCATATTGAGGTTGGGTCTCTACAGGGACGTCTGCCCGGAGGCGGAGGCCATCGTCTTCTCTTGGGTCGAAACCGCCGTTTACAACGACCCCAGAATGGCCGCCTCTCTCCTCCGCCTCCACTTCCACGACTGCTTTGTCAATGCAAGTTCCATTTCAATTCGTTATATTTCCCTCTCCGCGTACCCTATTGTTGTTTTTTATAAAAACATATACTCCCTCCGTCCAAAAAGTCTGCCCCGTTTCATTTTTTGCGCATCCCATAAAACACTTCTATATTGTCTCAAATGTCAAAAAAACTTCCAAAATGCCTTCTTCCCATAATAAAGGGTAAATGTGGTAAACTGTAGGCATTTTAGATGTGGGTAGAAATGTTTTTTGGGATGCGCAAAAAAAAAACGGAACAGACTTTTTGGGACGGAGGGAGTATATCCGGGTTGGGGTCGGGCCGGGATGAGCCAGGGTTTGTAGGGGGTTATAAGGGAGGAGTAGAAACTACTCCGGGGTCGAACAGATTGGATCAGACCATGAAAAGGTATACGAGTGTCGTGATAGGATGACGACAATGATACCGAGGGTGATTTGGACATTAATTTGACATTTTTGACCTTCAAATGAGCGCATACTTTTGAGTCCCGGGATGCCCTTTTCGTCTTAATTAGTTATAATTGGCGTTTGGCGCGACGCGCGTATGCACTATTGAGGCGTTGGGTGTTGACTATTGTGTGCAGGGGTGCGACTCGTCGGTGTTGTTGGACGACACGCCGAGCATGGTGGGGGAGAAAACCGCGGGACCGAACCAGAACTCTCTGAGGGGGTTTGAAGTGATAGATTCCATAAAGGCGGATCTCGAATACGTGTGCCCTCAAACGGTGTCTTGTGCTGACATTCTTGCCATTGCTGCCCGGGATGCCGTCCTCCTGGTATATAAATATCGTATCATATCGTATCATGTTCAATTTTTTGGCATGAACTACTCTTTAATTTCTTAGCTAAATCTTATTAATTCCCACAGTTAACCAAATTAAGAGTGCTAATTGAATGGGGTCTGTTTGGGTGGGCTTTATATGGTTCATGCAGTCGGGTGGTCCGGCATGGGAGGTGGAAATGGGAAGAAAAGACAGTTTGAGAGCCAGCCAAACAGACGCTAACAACAACATTCCGGGACCCAATTCCGATGTTCCAACTTTAGTGTCCAAGTTTCAAGCCCTTGGCCTCTCCCCATTAGACATGGTCACTCTTTCCGGTACTTTATCTTTATTTTCATCATACTTATATTTATTCGAAAAATTTACTTAAATAATACTAAAATATAATGACTTTCTCTAAATATTATCATATGTGTTTTTTTCCAATGTAGCACTTTTAGTTATTATCTATTAGTCATTATTCACACAAATGTTCGTCATCACTAGACATTATGGACATTATTAATTAATATCTAAAGAATAAAATAGATTAAGTGCTATTTTGGGGAATAACTTAAGTTTTAGTGCTATTTAGCGTAAATATCCCCTTTTATTATACTCCTTTCGTCCCTGAAAACTCTTATTCTTTTGATTTTTTTAATCAAACAATGATATTCTTTGACATTACATTAAACATAATCTAAATAAATAAATGTTATAGAATTTAGATATATCAAAACTATACACTAAGATGAAATTAATTATATTAAATTTATATTAAAATTCAATATACCTTGCTCACATTTGTAGTTAAAACTGGAAGAGTTTTCAGGATGGAGGAAATGAAATTTTTGTGATTATGTTATTTCTATTTCTTCTATACAAACTACAATCACACAAGTTCTACTTTATTAAATCGTGTCAATTCCATTCAAAAAAGATAATTATGAGACAGATAGAATACTTATTTTCTGGCAGTCTAATTTTTTGTTTCTCCCATAAATTTAGCATTAACGATCTGATAACTTTTTGGCGTGGTAAATTAATTTTGAAAACGATAAAATCAAATGTTGTAATTAGATAAAATTTTCAAAAAAAAGTAAAGTTAGGCATAGAGTATTAATTCACTACTCCCTCCGTCCTAAAATTAATTTCCCAGTTTGACTTTTGCAGTCAAACTTTTTAAATTTTGACCGTAGATTAAAGAAAAAAATACATTGAATTTTTATATAAATTTATTAAGAATAGATTCATTTTAAAATATAGTTTTGAAATATATAATTTTTATAAAATATATTTATATAAAAATTAAGATATTGATGGTCAAAGTGTCACATTGAAGACTGTGAAAAGTCAAATGAGAAGTTAATTTTAAGACGGAAGGAGTACTAAATACCAATGTTCATGTTCTTTTTTATAAACATGATGGGACATGCAGGGGCGCACACACTAGGAAAGGCGAGGTGTTTCACGTTCAACTCCCGGCTCAACGCCGGCGGCGGCGCGCCGGACGTCAACGTGGAGTTCATCCAGTCGCTCCAGCAGCTCTGCTCCCCGGCGGCGGACGCGAACGCCACGCTGGCGGATCTCGACGCCGTGACGCCGGCGACCTTCGACAACCAGTACTACGCCAACCTCGTGTCCGGGAAGGGCTTGCTGGCGTCGGACGACGTGCTGGTCAACGGCGGCGACGACCAGACGCGCGCGGCGGTCGAGTCGTACGTCGACGACCCGGCGCTGTTCTTTGACAACTTCAAGAGCTCGATGGTGAAGATGGGAAGGCTAGCGCCTGCTGACGGAGAAGGCGGCGGCGAGATACGCCGGAATTGTAGGGTTGTTAATTAATTAATTAATCAATGAATTAATTGGAGTTTAATTAAATTAATTAAAGTTTGTAATGTGGTGTGGGGGGAACTCTAAAGTGATGCATTATTGTTGTTTGGTAGGTGCATGAATGTAACACTATTATCGATCAAGAAGTTAATTATTTTTAATTAGTGGATGGAGAATTAAAAAAAATTATGACAACCAAATATATATGGAAATTTTACCACATGATTACACTTTCTCTTGATACTATATATGTTTAGAATAGTATTATTCTAAACATCAGTTTTTTTCCTAAGTGACAATAAAATTTGAACTGGTGGCCTATTAATTATCAATGTTCTGATACGATATCAAAGGAACCAATTTACCCAAAGGCAAATTCTTTTATGATCTAAAATTCATATTCTTTTTAGAAATATATTTGCAATAAATAGCACTAAAACTTAAGTCATTTCCCTAAATAGCACTTAAATTGTTTTATTATCTAAATAGCACTTAATAATGTTTATAATGTCCAATGATGGTGAATATTTACTTGAATAATAACTAATGCATAATGACTAAAAGTGCTACATTGAAAAGAAAAACATATGTAGTGCTATTTGGAGAAAGTTATTATGTTTTAGTGCTATTTAAGTAAATTCTCCTTCTTTTTATAGACTTCTTAGTACATTATTATCATAAAAAATGTAGAAAGAAACACACATGACCTTAAAACCACGTAAAAACCTCTAAGTAATTTTAAATAATAAAAGTAGACCACCACCAAAAAGAGATAACCGCAGGAACGTAAGCCCCGTTCAGTTAGCCCAAAGGCCCACGTGAATTACTGTGAAATCAGCCAAAGCCCATCCAGCCTGCATCTCTGCAGAAATGGCCCGGGGACTTTCCTGGGCCGCGGCCAAATCTAAAGCCTGGACCAGACCCACTCACGCCGTCCCGCGGTCGAGAAGCCTTTAAGTTCCTCACGCCGCTATATGAATACCAAAATTATTTCAACGAAATCCGGTGTGGTTTGGCGGAGTTTTTTGAGGTCAGACGCCATTTCTCCGTTTTCTGGTACTGTTCATCTTCAACCTTCTTTCTTTCATTCAGATGGTTCGCCGGAGCTTCTATGGCACCTTCCAGATTTTCTGTCTCTTTTTTTTACCGGGGAGACTATGGGGAAGAGTCAAACTTTGGCTTGCATTTGGAATCAAACTCGATATTTGGAGTATTGTTACTAAGGTGTTGCAAGTATTGGTGTATAAAATATACTCCCTCCGTCTCATATAACTCTTCCTGTTGAAAGAAAGACACGCCTTTAAAATGAGTAATTTTGCTGCTATTTTCTACTCCCTATGTCCCATTTTAAATTACATGTTTGCTTTTTTTCTGTTCCAAAATAAGTTGCATGCCACTTGTTATCGTAAACTTTTAAGAGTAAAACACCTAAACTACTCCTAAAACAAGTCACTCTTCTCCACCTTATCTTCTCATTCATCGTCACTCCTCCTAAAAGTAATGTCAATTTTAGAAAATCAACTCTATTTTTTCTTTTCCTTAAATATGTTCAAAAGTCAATAGAGACGATTTAAAACGAGACGGAAAGAGTATTAATCTTCAGGGTCCATTCTCATCCACCGAAGCATCTTAATTTTGGTCACACTAACCTAATGTTCACCATTTGCTGCACAACACTTTGTTTCATACAAAATAACTACTCAAATCGTAGTACGATAAAATTTTCTCTCTAATTTTAAATATACTTGGGATACTTCTTTTGACACCTATAGAGTCTGAAGCACTCGGTCATTTTGTCCAACCGGTTTGAATTATCTGGTTAACATAATCCTTTATTTCTCTATTGTCTTGAATTATACACCTTAGATATTTCAACATGTTTAGTTGTATTATAGTGCTTTCTCCGGCTTTTCTCGATGTTACGATTTTTTATTTTGTTGCTAAACTTGTACTTTATAGACTTTGTTTTGGTGCGACTTATATGCAAGTTGTGCAACTCCAAAACCTATCTCCACGAACCTAACTTTCATATCAAATCCTCTCGTGATTCGTCCATAAGTTTGATGTCATCAGCAAAAAGCAAGCATCATTATACGGGTTCTCGAATAAAAACTTTCAATACTAGTGTAAAAGGAAATGAGCTTAGCTTCTACACATTGACTCGCTTGTTCTAGCACCATCATTTATGTCCTCAGTCGCATGAATACACACAACTGGCAGTCTTATTTTCTCTAGCACCTTCCATGATAGTAGTATACTATTTTGGCACCTTGTGATATGCCTTTTCCCAATCAATTAAAGTCGTATGTAAATCTTCCCTTCATCACTCTCCTCACCATGTATACAACCTCTATAGTTGATCTTCCTAGTATAAAATCAAATTGATTCCCTAACACCGAAATCTCTTATCTCCACTTCCATTTAACTTCCATTTAACCGCTCTTTCTCATAAATTCATCGTATGACTCATGAATTCAATCCCTCTATATTTTCCACAAATTGTAAATATCCAACTCATTTTTGTAAATAGGGACCAAATTTGAATTCGTTAGACATCTTTAATCTTAAAATCTCGTTAAAAAGCTTAGTTAGCCACCATATATCTTTTCTTCTTGAAAATTTCCATTCTTAATCGAGATAATCTAAACCCACAAAGCGAATGAATAAAAATAAAAGATCATTAGAAAATCCTCTATTGTAAAAAATCATTTGGAGAAATAACTCCTTGTTCAAATTTTTATGGTACGGAGTATAATTTATCAAGATTTCAGTTATAAACTCAAAATTCCAATTGCTGGTATCCAGGTTCTAAGTTCAAGATTCCAATCACAAATATGCAAAATCTAGTTACCACCTTCCACAAAACTCAATACATCAGTTGTGAACCAAAAAAATACATCCAAAGACTCTAGCAAGGGCCAAAATCACTTTACAGGACCCAGAAACAAAAAGGGTGGTGGTAGGGTACCTTACAACACATCTGGTTTTGGTCCACAGATAACAAAGTTGCATCATATAATACTACTAGAATACAATGTGAATAATAAGCATTATGGTGATAAATTTTCCTACTACCACAAACAACAATTTATGTAAACTACTATAATGAAACAGCGACTAAATTGCCACCGGCCTCATGATCCAAGGTTGTTTTTCTTCTTAGGGTATACCCGTAAATGCCGCAACGACCAAAACAGTTACATCCTCTCCCAGGAAAGTGAAGGGTTGGAAAAAGAAAAGGACAGTAAAAAGACACAGACAACATTGCTTTTGTATACAACTGGCCATTACCCTTCACATATTAAATAAACTATCATAACCTTGATGAGACTATCTGAACCCCCTATCAGCTCAAGGAAAGCCATGCTCTAGCCTCTATCTATCTATGGACATGGCTTAGTCAACTGGGCGAATCACGGTCCTGAATGTGGAAAAAGATTCAATATTAGATGAGTGTAAAGAATGGGTTACTTATTAAACAAAACTATATGTGTGCATATATCACTGCATGATTACTCTTTGACATCCATTCTTGACCAGCATGAAGCCCCTGCAAATCCGAAAGACATTGTGAGCTTAGGGGTCTGTTTGGAAGCAGAAATTACCAGGGCAAATGAGAAAAATAGATGAACAATTTCAAAAGAAATAAATCATGTGGCTTATATTATCACTCGTATGCAAAAAAATCAGCCACACAATTTCACAATTTTTAATAATAATACTGACTCCAATGTACTTCATATATTTCGAGTTAAAAGACAAGCCAAGCATTGAAAAAATTTACTACATATTTTACTTTCATCTTTTTCCTTGCACTATGTTTGGTTCAAGGAATTTGGAAGGAAAAGAAAAGAAAATAAATTTCTCCCATTTTCCTCTCCAAATTAGAAGGAATTTGGTATTCCCTCAAAATAATGCATTTTGCCATATTTTCCTTGCACTTTTCTTTTATTTTCCTCTTTAACCAAAGAAGAAAAATGGTTTTCCTTCTCATTTTCTTTTCTTTTCTCTTTCAAATTCCTTGAACCAAACATACTCTTAACATTTTTTGTATTTCAAACCTTGTGTAAAACTATACTTATTTGAATTTCTGATTCACACAACACACCAACCTGTTGGGTATGAAGTGTATCATTTACTGAACCAGCCGCATGTGGTAAATGCGCATAAGAATGTTCCTGCAATTCCCAAATTTCTAGTCAACAAGGCCATTCCAAATTTCTAGTGAACAGTGCTCACAATCCCAAAAACAGCCATTCAAGACATCTATAAAATTTGAAATCTTACATTTATTGCATTTATTATTATTACATTCTAGAATATAGCACAAGAATTAAAAAGATTTCACCCTTGTTAGTTTGTTATTCCATTTTTCCTTTTGAGGAATAAAAAAACACGGAGTATAAAATAACTAAAATAGGCATCCTATGAAAATAACAACTGGATTAATGCAAAATAGGCACTGTAGACTTCTTACCATCAGATAATAAAAGTAAAACTTTCTCTTTCAAATTAAAAATGGCAAAAAGTAATCAAATAAAAAACAAATGACAAATGCTATAAAAGATCAAGTGATAAAAAAGGGGGAGTATTTTATTTTACAACCCATTGCCACATAACTGTATATATTTGGAGAAAAATGAATTATTGTGATACCTGATTACTTCGTTGAACAATCCTTCCAGGATCCTGATGATACTGACAGCAAATATAAGATAGCATAATGATGAGTTGACAAAACAAATGATGACTCCAGTAAAAAAAATTGAAATCTGAAACAGAAACGTACAGATGATGCTTGAGATGTTTGTTGTTGAAGCTGTTGTGGGGCACGGAACTGGATCTGAAGTGGGCTTTGATACTGCCCTTGCATATGAAAAGCTTGCTGTGGAGATATGCCTTGTTGAGGGTAAGACTGCATTTGAGGGTAAGACTGCATTTGAGGTTGTTGGGTGGTGGAAGAAGGCTTTGTTTGTTCTTGTTGTTTCTGCTGCTGTTGTTCGAACAAGGTCAACTCCTCTGGTTTTTCCCACTGACATTCACAAAATGCACATTTAAATATAATCATATTGTCAAAAGAGTAGCACATCTTAACTTGCAGACAAATTATGTTTGGACGCTTACTTTGCTTTCACCAGTTACACTGTTGTGGTAATACTTGTACCCATCAGGTGCAGTGTGTTCTGTCCAGTCACATTTTAAAGCGGCAACAGGCTGACTAGTTGCAAGAAGAGGTGATTGAAAGGAAGTGACTGGAGGTGGTTGCTGCTGAGCATGCCCAGGCCAAGAAGAATGTTGCTGCAGCTGAGTAGTTGTTGAGTTTTGGTTAGAAGGCGGTTGCATCATCTGCCTTTGTTGGTGTTGAAGCTGAGAGAAGGCTTGTTGTGACGACTGAAAGCTTGCCTGTAAAGTTTGTGTTTGTTGTGACATCATCTGAGCTAACTGAGATGGTGGTTGATGTTGAAGGGTCTGTTGAGCTTGGTGTTGTTGGTTTGAGGATCCAGATGGCACATTCTGCTGAGGTGTCATTGCCTTACCAACCGGGGTTTGACCAGCAGACGGGGGTATTATTGGCACTTGAGGCTGCCTGAAAAAATGCATGACAACTTTGTGTTTGAGATAAGGGTGTTGATATTGGTTTTCATATGATATACCATTGCATCCATCGGTTGCCGTGTTTGATACGCTAAGGGCCCGTTTTGAATCCGGAAATTACTAGGAGAAGATGATAGGAAGGAAAAAAAGATCGGAAGAAAAGAGATTGGAAAGAATAATAAAAAAGATAGGCTAAAGTCAATAAATTCATTTAGGATCATTATTGATATTCATTCTAATTATCTATGACTATTAAATACGTAAAGACTAACAACAACAACAACAACCCAGTTAAATCCCACAAGAGTAGGGTCTGGGGAGGGTGTGTGTACGCAGACCTTACCCCTACTCGAAAGTAGAGAGGCTGTTTCCAAAGAGACCCCCGGCTCAACGTCGAAAGTTGCATTGATTGACTAACTGCTACTTCATTAATTAAAGAAGCGCAGACAGTTTAGAGATCCATTTTGATTTATTCCATCACACGCCAAAGCCAAAAAATGGAGAAATTTTGGCTCCATCGGAGATGATGGAAACGAATATACGGAGTATGCAAATAAACGTAAAGACTAAGAAATTTAAATATACGGAGTATGCAAAAACAAATTACTTAATTAATCATGTTTCATTTTCCTTTGCATTTTACAAGGCAAACAAAACACAAGAAAACTTATTAGCCATTTTCACCTATCATTTTCCCATGACCAAACATACCATAGAAGTCTAAAAAACCTACTCCGTATTACTGAATAGATGTGGTATCGTACCCATATCCATGTATCCGAGTATCCGGGTGGCCATACCCATGCGACATAGGTGATTTCTGTTGTTGCAGGGAAGAGGGAAAATGTTGTGGTGATGGAAGAGGCTTCTGTGATGGAGAATTTTGCTGGCCAATTGAAAGGCTTTGCACCAACGGCTGGTTTGACCCCTAAATGAAACTCGACAATGAATTTATTAGGATACTATTAAGAAAAGAAGAAATAGTTGTATGGAATGAAAAATGATAATCAAATTTAAGAGTTGTCTTGTGTACCTTTTGGGGCATGGAGGAAGAAGAAGAAGAAGAAGAAACAGGGAACCCTGGATATGAACTATCCCCACTGCTGCTATGGCCACCCTAAACATTTCATGCAAACAACATGATGCTGATAGGATTTTTAATTTAGGGTAATGCCATGCTAATGAAAATTACTCATCATCAATGCTTAATTTAAACCTGTTGTGTCAGAGAAGGGGAGGGAACTGGACGCATAGGAAATGAATTGTCCCCACTAGCACCACGGCCACCCTAAATTGTAGAAAAAAAGATGACATTAGTTACAATCTATACAGTACAATATATCACGATTAAAAATTGAACTACCACAAGATGCATAACAGGAGTATTGTTTGACCAAATTATTTTGTATTAAATGTCTTATCTACCCTTGACATTACTTTCCCACCCACCCTCATTACTACAATACTACCCACCCAACCCTAAATTTCATTTTCTCCCTTCAGCTTTTCTTCAACTTTCTAGATTGTCGCTGCCATCCATAGCTGAGGAGATGTAGGAGGCGTAGTTCAACTTTGCCGTCGACAATATCTACTACATGGACAAGAGGGACGCGTGAAGGTTGCGGCAGAGCTAGCAGGGGTGGTGGGAGCATCAGTTACTAGTAAATAAGGTGCATCCTTACATGAACAACAAAACACCTCTGGGAAAAAATCCTAGTAGCGTATCTATCCTTATTAGTGGCATACATGTATCAACTGTTAATTTGTATCCCTATTCCCTACACATTACCATGAAAAAAGAAAACAAAAATACTACTCCATACCTAACTTCACAAAAAAGAGTGATGTGTGGTCAAATGTTTTTGGCCATTTTTGGCAAATTAATTGAAAAATCAGCTTCCCTTGACCAAAATGAACTCTTTTTTGGGACAAAAAAGTGTCCTAAACGTGAATTATTTTAGGGATGGGGGAGTATGAGTTCTTATCCAAAAGGGGAATGAACAACAAAACACTCCGGGAAAAAAATCAATAAAAATCTGTGTATAATTTTTCCTTACCAATGAGGAGGGCGCTTGCATGTCATTTGATCTAGGAGAGACTTGATTTCCAAAACCATGGGTGTTAATAGTGTTAGATACTTGTGATGGATTAAAGGCGGGCATGGGACGCCATGAGTTAGGAGCATTCTGTCTGTATGCGGGCTCTGTAAGATTCGGATGGGGTGGTCTATCCAAGTATCCAACGGTATAAGTTAAAGAAAAAGTTAGCATGGCATAGCATTGCAGTGAAACTTCAAAAAATAGAAAACTGGTTGGAAATATACCTAATTCCAGGGGCTTGAAAGCGAGGCCCATAGCCAGGCCCCACAAATGATGGATCCCTGTAAATGAAAAAGATGACTAAACAATAGAATGATAGATGCACAACGGAAGGGACTGAAAATATGCAGGTGTGATAATGTTCATTCATATTAATTAACCAAGAATATAAACAGCTAGATAGAAACAACTGTTTATTCCAATTTTGAACATGAAGCTCTTAAACACCTACCTTGACTCCCCAAATCTAGGCTTCTTAGGGTCCGCAAATCGAACAATCAAAGGTTGGTCACATCCCTGGTATGTAAAAGAAGATAATTAAGTGATAGAAGCGCAAATACTATATTGAAAAAAACACTGAAACTTTTAATGAAAAAGAGGGTACTGAGAACTGATGCTAGCTTACTCTCATTGTAAATTTTCCATTAAGACCATCAATTGCGGCCAATGCCACTTCTCTATTTGAATATTTGACAAATCCGCACCCTTCAAAGCAGTTCAAAGATCAAAAGTTAGGACGGCACTACTAGTTACTACAGAGATAAGTAAAAGATTACTAAATGTATACTACCTACATCCCAATGAGATCGTCCAATTTGACTCTTCATGGTCTTATAGGTAAACATTGCAGTTTTGGAATGTTATCTAAAATAAAAACTTTGAAAAAAAATGATAATATTTTGAAAGACACGTCTTGTGAAGCCATTTTCTTAATATCATTCTATGTGTTCTTCAATTTTATACAGGTCAAAGTTTGTTATATTTGACCATGAAAAGTCCAAATGGACAAACTCTAAGTCTTCTCAGACAAAGGGAGTAGTAAACTATAAAAAAGACCAAAGTAAACAGATAAAAAAACTAACATTTTGAATATAAGGCAAGAATAATTTGATGATAAAAATTACTCGTAAAAGATACCAACCAACTGAAATGATTGCTCAGCTATTTAGGCCTCATTTGGGATTGCATTAGTGGGAAAAAACTCCCTTTTCCATTATCCAAGCTCAAATAAATATAGATTATTGTCTAAATTATGGTTTGGATTTTGGAATGCCAAATCCACTATAACCTTAAAGTCTGAATTGTGTGTTTTGGAGTTCAAAAATGTTTATTATGAGTATATTATACTTTGAAAACAACCTCTCTACCTCCAAGTAGGGATAAGGTTTGGGTACACTCACCCTCCCCAGACCCTACTTTGTGTGGTGGGACTATATTGGGTTTGTTGTTGTTGCTGTTGGAGTTCAAATATTTCCTTAGAGATTTTAGATTTTGCATCAATGGCCCATAGAGCTAAAGAAATCAGTATTGCCAATGTTTAAGCTTCGGGTAAATACAACAACCCAGTAAAGTCCCAAGAATGGGGTTTGGAGGGTGGGTGCAGCACACCTTAACCCTAACTAGAAAAGCTTCAGGTAAAAAATGAACTAAATCAAGATGGCACAATAAACTTCCAATGCTTTGTACTTTTTATGATGTTTTGGATAGTAAATGCCTTTCCACCATGATATATCTAGGCCCGACCCTATCATACCCTCCCCCATATCCCACACCCTCATGGAAACCAAAGGACTTAGGTTCAAACATTATGATCCATTTTAGTGAGAATTCAAAGTCCTTTAGCCCGAAAGGCCAAAATAACTTTCGTTTTGACCTAAGGGTTCCGCTAGCCAACCCCCACTCCGTCCAACCCAACCCTAAACATCCAAATATATTTCATTTCCTTTTGATATCCAAAATAAAGTCTCTTCAATCTATTTTAATCTCTGGTCACAATAGGAAACCAAAACAGCCCCATTCATCTTCCAACATCCACCCAACATGGTCCCTACTATGTTCCCTAGTACAACCCACTAAACAACCATAAAATTCCAGGAGAAACATGGTACTTTCTTAACCCTTTAACCACCAAATAAATCCTCATATATGCAGCCAAAGTACCACACATTATCCTTTCCCTTTGTCCCCCCTAGTTGGCTGAACACATCCCCCCCAAATCAGCCCAAAAGAATGATATCCATTCCCCTTGGTTTGCCTTTCATTGGAGACCCTACAACCACACCCATCCCTGATTTTATTCCAATAAAAGGACCTAAAACATGGCTGATAT